GAGTGGGATCTAGTGGTTGGGGGGGGGGATGAGCCAGGACTCCTGGGTTCTCTCCCCATCTCTGGGAGTGGAGTGGGGTGCGGTCTAGTGGTTAGAGCGCAGGGCGGGTTGGAAGCCAGGACTCCTGGGTTCTATCCCTGGCTCTGGGGAGGGGAGGTGGGGGCGTGGGGGGGAGGGACTGGGAGCTAGGACTCCTGGGTTCTCTCCCTGACTCCCTTCCCCCATTGCTAGGGGGTCCAGAGGCGTCCGTGACTCTGTTCTGCGACGTGCTGACGCTGCTCCCCCTGTTGGTTTTGCCTCCTGCTCACAGATGAGTCAGAAGAAGCCGGGGCGAATGTCCTAGTCGCTGGAAGTCAGGGGGGCTCTGCCCCGAGCCGCGCATGTCCCTGAGCCCCCCCCCCATTCTCCTTGCTGTGTGTGTCTCAGGCCCCCCCTCATGCTGGCTGCCCCCCGAGGGGGGGATGTGCAGGGCACCAGCCACTGAGCCCCGTGGGTCAATGCCACCTCCCGTGTACCCTCGCCAGCCCCCCAACCTCTCCCCCTTCCTGAAGAGCTAGGGGGGGTTGCTCCTCACACCACCCTAACCTCGCCTGGACCCTTGTATTCCTGTGGGATCAGCCCCACAGACCCACTCCCTCGCTCCGTCATCTCTTCACATCCAAGATCATCCTGAGGGAGAAGCTCCGTCACCTCCAGCTCTGGAACGGCGGGCGCCATGTCTTTATTGTCATTCAGGAGGTGCAGCTTTGAAGTCTGTTTTCTCAAGAGCCGCAGAGTGAGAAACAAACCCTTTATACTGCAGGAAAGCTTGGGATTTCCTCTTTTCAACGCCGCCAACCTCTTAATTCTACTCCTAATGCAGCCTGAGATATCTCCCCTTAAAGCCCCATCGTTTTCAGAAGCCTCTGGCTTCCTTTTCCTTGCACCAGCCCGCATTTAGCAGCTCATATCTCTCTTTTGGCTAAAACCACAAGTAAAAGTCAGATACCAGCTGAAAGCCGACAGCCCCAGCTTCGAAACAACACCTGCCGCACATCTCTACTGTGCGGCGTTTGTAAGATATCAGCTGCTGAAGCCGGGTCGGAGAAGCAAGCCAAGACGGTAATCAGACTGATGTGAAATGTCAGGTCGGCCAGTTGATGGCTGCCGGGAGCTCTGGAGTTTGGTATTTCGTGGCCAGCCGGGGCTGTAAATGCTTTAGATGCTCCTCCGTAGCACCAGCTCCAGGTGTGGGTCAGGAAAAGACAGGAGTGAACCCCTTTTGGGGAGGGGATGGGGCATAGCTCCCAGGATCCAGCATTCGCAGCGCCTCTGGATGGGGGGTAGACACAGGGGGAGGAGAGCTGGGGTTGGATGCAGCTGTAGGTATCTCATTGCCACTAAGGGGCACAGGATGAAAGGGGGCGGAGGGGATTTCAAGCCATTGCCCCCTTTCGCCTCCGCTGCTGAAACTGATTTTCACTCACTCACTGCGGCCAAAATAAACTCTTCCACAGCCGCCCCCCCCCCCCGGCCGGGCCAACTTGGCTGGAATGGCAGGTTAGGAGCCAGGCCCCTGCCTCCCTCCACACCCCAGGGCTGGATCACTGCCAGCACCCCCTAGAGGGGAAAGGCCCTGTGCCCCATCCCCGTGAGCCAGCCACTGCCCTGTGGCTGGTGCCCCCTAGAGGGGGAAATGCTTCATATCTGTACACACACCCCCAGCTGCTATACCCCCCCACCACCACTAGGGGTCTCCGTCTCGCGTTTCCACCTCCTACACTGTTCTCCCCCCCCCCC